TGAACCAAGCCCTGGAGAGTCCCTGTTTCGTTCCAGCAGGAAAACGTTTTGTCAGGCTGTCCTGGTCTAAACTAAGTGAATCTTGTTTTATCCTGGTGCTCTCTCCAGCTCTTTTTCCCCCTGGCTTTTGGGCCACTCCCAATGATGCTCAGGGCTCTGCCCTCAGGAATCACTCCTGGCGGACTCAGAAGAGCCCTATGGGATGCTGGGGATAGAACCCGGGTCAGCCACAAGCAAGGCAAACACTCTCCCGCTGTGTTTGTCACTTTGGGCCCTGGAATAAACACTTTTTTAAGACTTTTATTTTCTTTTGGGGTCACACTCGGCGATGCACAGGGGCTTACTCTTGGCTCTGCTCTCAGGAATTACTGCTGGTGGTGCTCAGGGGACCATACGGGATGCTGGGAATTGAACCCAGGTTGGCCGCATGCAAGGCTAATGCCCTACCAGCTGTTTTATCACTCTGGCCCCTGGAATAAACATTTTTGAACAAGAATATGTCTCTCATATTTGCTGCAGTGCCTCTTACAATCAGGCTTGCTCTTCACGGGGAAAAACATGGGTGGATCAAGATTAAGTATTCCCTTACCCAACAGCAGACACAAATGGCCACTGAGCAGTTTTACAGATGGCCCCAAACTCAGCGGTCATCTTCCCTAGAGACATGTAGCACTGTAGCATTGTCCTCCCCTGTTTATCGATTTGCTTGATTGGGCGCTGGTAATGTCTCCATTGTGAGACTTGATGTTACTGCTTTTTTTTTTTTGATGTTACTGTTTTTGGCATATCAAATACACCATGGGGAGCTTGCCAGGCTCTGCCGTGTGGGCAGGATACTCTTGGTATCTTGCCAGGCTCTCTGAGAGGGATGAAGGAATCGAACCCGGGTCTGCCACGTGCAAGGCAAATGCCCTACCCACTGTGCTACCGACATGTAGAAGAATTGGAAATGACTAAAGGAATTAAGGACTGCCCTAAGCTTCACCTGGGGGTGGCCCCAAAACAAAGAAAAGTGTCCGAGATTGCAATGAGTTTCATGAAGTCCCCACAACATCCCTTCGTCCTGGGGTTGTAGATGAAGGATTTGGCATTGAGAGCCGGGGGGGGCGGGGGGAGGGCGGGTAGAGGAACTCATGGATATCCTTAAGGTGGTCCCATTAGAACATCATCTTTTTTTTTTGCTTTTTGGGTCACACCCAGCAATTCACAGGGGTTGCTCCTGGCTCTGCACTCAGGAATTACTCCTGGTGGTGTTCGGGGGACCATATGGGACGCTGGGAATTGAACCCGGGGCGGCCGCATGCAAGGTAAATGCTCTACCCGCTGTGCTATCGCTCCAGCCCCTAGAACACCATTTGAGGTGAGACCCACAGGTGGAAATGCTTTGAATACTGGTGCCCTGGGGTGAGAGAAAAGCAGTGACTTGTCTAATATGAGCGCCTGAGACACTAATATTAATGCCCCACAGGCCTTGATGCAAGGCAGAGAGCGGAAGCATTCTTTTCCCTCCCAGTCGCTGGCAGCTGGCTCTATGGAAGCTGTCCCAAAGGACCTATCACACATTCCTGCAAACGCCAGAACTCATCTGAGCTGGAGCAAGTTTGCAATGTCCCCAGGTCATGAGTTCTATCCCCAGGCTAGGGCTCCCTGCCCTCTAAACTTAGAGAAGATGGGTGATCATCAGGCAGGTGGACATACAGATACCCTGAAAGGTCTTCACTCCACAGAAAATCCCCACTGACCTAAGGTTTATCTTAGTAACACAGGGGGCTGGAGCAATAGCACAGTGGGGAGGGCGTTTGCCTTGCATGTGGCCAACCCGGGTTGGATTCCAAGCATTCTATAGGGTCCCCTGAGCACTGCCAGGAGTAATTCCTAAGTGCAGAGCCAGGAGTAACCCCTGTGCGTCGCTGAGTGTGACCAAAAAAGCAATAACAACAAAAAAATTAAATTAAAAAAATTCACTGAACTATCTGAGCAACATGAAAAGGCCCTCATTTAACCAGACACCTCTGGGAATCAAATGGGGTGGGGTGACAGTCCTCTGAGGCTTTGTTTGATCAGATACACAAAGACGTCAGTTTCCTATACCCCTCCCCTAAAACAAAGCCACACTTAGTCCTATATGAAGTTCTTCCCTAAACTGGGGAGTTTTGGGGGGTTTCTTTCTCTTTTTATCAAACTCTTCCATCACTTAATCACTTAATCACTTAACTTCCCGTTAGTCGTCGATTTGCTCGAGCGGGCGCCAGTAACATCTCCATTTATCCCTGTCGCGTGCTAGTGTAGCCCAGTGGCATCTGTTTGCTCCGGGAACATGAAGGGCCTCAAACCAATCGTTCATGATCTTGACGAAGAAGTCTGACCATCTGGTAGGTGGGCGGCCACGCAGTCTTTTGACATCCCGTGGAATCCAGTCGGTAACAGCTCTAGTCCAGCGGTCGTCTTTAAACCTCATTACGTGACCAGCCCATCTGATTTTTGACACCTTGGCAAATGAGACAGCGTCCCTGATTCTTGATCGTCGACGGATGTCAGAACTCCGGATTCTTTCTCTCATTTGAGTGAAACGTGATATTCCAAGCATAGCTCTTTCAATTCTTCTTTGGGAGACCTGAATAGCGTTCTCATCCTGTTTGCGTAGGGCCCAGGTCTCTGAGGCATATGTTAATGCAGGAAGAACAGTGGAATCAAAGAGATGTGCCCGGAGCCGGAGGTTCTTCGTCCTCTTAGCTATTTCTTCGACGTTCTTGAAGGCGTTCCAAGCCGCTCTCTTCCTCCTGCACAGCTCGGGTGCCAGGTCATTTGTCATGTTGACCTCTCGACCTAGGTACACATAGCTGTTGCATTCGGAGATGGTCGTTCCGTTGAGAGCGAATGGGGCGTCAGGAACGAGGCTGTTTCTCATAAACATTGTCTTTGTAAGATTCAGCTGTAGTCCTACCTTTCCACACTCACGGTCAAAGTCGGCCAGCATTTGTGCCGCTTGGCTGATGTTTGGTGTTATTAAAACAATGTCATCAGCAAAGCGCAGGTGGTGTAGTTGCCTACCATCTATCTTCACTCCCATTCCTTCCCATTCCAGTCGTCGCATGATGTTCTCGAGGGTGGTACTGAAGAGTTTCAGTGAAATGGTATCACCCTGCTGCACCCCTCTCTTGACATCAACGATCACTTCTTTGTAGAATGGTGAGATCCTGGTAGTGAATCAGCAATACAGCTCACGGAGGATCCTGATGTATTGGGCTTGAATGCCCTGATTGGCCAGGCCTTCAATGACCGCTTCTGTCTCAACAGAATCAAAGGCCTTCTTTAAATCAATGAACGTTAAACAGAGTGGCATCTTGAACTCCCGAGAAACCTCAATGAGCTTGACAATCAATGACATTGGCAACTATCGCCCGATCTGCCTATTGTCTGTCATCTACAAGTTGTTCACTCGAGTCATCCTAAATAGGATTGGCAGAACACTAGATGAAGGACAACCATGCGAGCAAGCCGGGTTCCACAAAGGATTCAGCACCATCGACCATATCCACACGATAACCAAACTCTTCCATAGATTTCTTCTTTTTTTTCTTTCTGGTTTACTTCTGGCTCTGCGCTCAGGAATTACTCCTGGCAGTGCTCCGGGGACCCTATAGGATGCTGGGAACCGAACCCGGGTCAGCTGCGTGCAAGGCAAACGCCTACCACTGTGCTATCGCTCCAGCCTCTTGTCTCTCCTCTTGCTCCCTTAAAAATACCCCAGAAGTGGAGGTGGGAAGAAACCCTAAGGCTTAGTTGTTTTTACACATCTCAGAAATCATTCATATTTTTTAGACATTTTGATCCGGCCTCAAAACCCCTGGTTCTCAGAAAGGAGGTGACTAGTGATTCCCGCCTTCTCGCAAGTGTTCCCCCAAACGCCAGAGTTTGGACGGGGTGGGATTATGGCTCTCTACGCTGTGGAGCTGCAGTCCCAGATTTGACCACTAGATGCCAGCAGCTCCCTGCCCAAATTCACCCCAACGTTGCACGCTCCAATCTCCAGCTGTAAAGCATTGAATTGCAGGAAGATAAGGTGTCTCAGAGTGTACTAGCCCCAGCTGTGCTTCACTTCGCACTAGGGTAGTGCTGGGACAATATTAAACTTCACCTGTGCTGTTGCGCGAGCAGGATAGAGAATTCCCCCACCTACGCCCCCTTCCCGTCCCTCCCACTCCCCCCACTGCCCGCTCCCACACACACCGGTTTTTTTTTTTGCATTGTGTGTACTGGAAATACCTGACTTCAAATACCTTCACTAATCTCTACATCTGGGTGACACGCTGACATAAAGGAATCTCCTTAATTTCTCCATTCCCGTTTGCTTTTGACAACTACCCAAAATACAGGAAACGAGGGTCAGGGCTGGAGCTCCGTGGTAGAAAACACTTTTCTCTCACGTATGAGGGCCTGAGAGGAAACTTGGAAAAAATAAAACTTGTGCAGCCGCAAAACGGACAAACGCAGACGCTAATTTGCTGCTGCTGCTCTTCCAATTATACTGCAGTTCTCGCTAATTCGGCACTCTGTATGGAATATTGCTAAGACAGTACATTTTGTCCCCGAGCTGGATGTAAAGCAGAGCCTCTCAAAGAACCAGAAATTGGGGCCGGAGTGATAGTAGAAAGGGTAGGGCGTTTGCCTTGCACGTGGCCGACCCGTGTTCAATTCCCAGAATCCCTATAGTCCCCCGGAATCCCATATGGTCTCCCAAGCACCTCCAGGAGTAATTCCTGAGTGCAGAGCCAGGCGTAACCCCTGAGCATCGCTGGGTGTGACCCAAAAAGCAGAGAAAAAAAAGGAACCAGAAACTGGGTGACTTTTGCAGCCCCCGCCACGCTGCCTACCTCCCCCACCCATCCTAGGACGCCGGGAACCGAGCGCCCCTCTCTCGATGTAGGAACTACATTTCCCAGAATCCCGCCCTCCCAGAACTTCCGGTCTCGAAATCTCACGACATCGGGAAGGCGGAAGTGAGGCGGAAGCCATTATTCTCGGGAGGCGACCACTGCGGGGACGGCTCATGGGCAGCGCGGGGCCAGTCCTGAGTGTGTCCGAGGCCCCCCAGGGCGAGAGAGATCGTCCTAGGAACTTTCCTTCGCTTTGGAACCCCGATTCTGCCGCCAGTCTTGTAAGCCCCACCTAGTGCCCTGCACCACCAGCCCCTCTGGGGGACCCGGGAGGATCCTGGGTGGACGCGGTGATGGACAGGGCGTGAAAGTGGGGGTCCGAGCACAGGCTTTAGGACTGGGGGGTGGGGTGGGTCCTGAGATCTGGTGGCGGAAAAAGCAAACCCCAGCGTGATTCTTGGGGTTTGAGGAACTGACCAGCGCGCCCCAAGGACCCCCCCTCCACCGCCCCCCCGAGCGCCTCCAGCGACACGTTTAATTTAAATATTTTATGCTTGTGCAAGTCCGTTTGCCAAAAAGTTCTGCGTGCTGCTTTTTGTTTTGTTTTTATTCTCTCCCTCCACTTTCCCCCTCCCCCCCCACCCCCCCCAGTTGAATCCAGATCGAATTTCTGAGCATGTTGGCATTGAAATGACTCTAAGGGTTATTTGAATGAGGGCTGCGTGCAGCTTCTTGAATGCCTTTCAAGAACAGTTTGGAAATTCTGCAAAAATGTGTGGTGGCAGAGGATGAGGAAGGGGGGATTTCAATGTAATATTTAGTCATAGAAATTTGACTTTTTGGCGCTCCGAAACCCCAGTGGTTTGGTTTATCAGTGCCTGCATCCTACAACCTTGTTGTAAGCGCGCATCCTCTTAAGTTTTCTTCTGGGGGTTTTGATGTGGGTCCCAGACACTTCCATCTGTGTAGAATGAGCACGTGTTTATTTTTTACTTTTGCTGCATGCATCAGTATTTGCATTTCTTGTCCTTGCTGGAAAGGTTGGGGACTTCAGGAAGTGTGGATTGGAGTTTGGGTGGTGAGCATTGAGGCTTCCCTTCCCTTCAGGCAAATTTAATGCTTGCTGGATGATTGAGGATAGTGATATTTTATGGGGTTGGCCACACCCAGTGATGCTCAGGGCTTGTGTCTGGCTCTGCCCTCGGTGATCACTCCTGGCAGGCTCAGGGGACCCAGTGGGATGCCCCGCATCCAACTCAAGCCCCCTGCAAGGCAAGTGCCTTACCTTCTGTACTGTCACTCCAGCCCGCTGTGATAATGATTTCTAGAGGCAGTATTTATTAAGAGGAAGGAAGCGTTCTTTTCCTAAATGAAATTTTCCTGTGGGAAACAGCTGTGGGCTTTTAATCCACACCCCTCCCCCCAGTTTGTATCTGAGTGCTAGAATTTGCAACAGTGTTAAAAATCAAGTTTCACCCAGACCGAGTTCCTACTCCAGGCCCATCATCAGCGTCTCAGGATCCCCCTGCAGGCCCCCTCTCAATGCCGGGCCTGTCATTCCCCGATACTGCTACGTAGTATCCACCAATGAGAGATCTTGTCCTCCTCAGAGGATGGCCCCATTCTCTCTCGTCATCCCCCCCCACCCCCGCAGTGAAGTACACACGTCTTCACTGCTTCCTCATGGACAAGTGGCCCATTGTGGGCACAGACCAGAAAGTCTTTGTCCACACATTCGTGCTTGGACCCTTGGGTCGAGTCCAGATCTAGGCTGCTGGGAACAAGAGCTGCAGTCAGGGCCGGCACTGATGGCGCTCAGAGATAACGTTGTGTGCCGCAGGGTAGCTGCCAAGAAGCCATGCTCGCTTGGTCCCACAGAAGCTCGGCTCCTGATTTGTGGCGCCTCCTCCACACTGTTTGCTGTCTTTTACTGTTGGGGCAGAAACAAAAGAGCAGGAGCCTCCTGCCAGCCAGGCTTGGGGTCCTTTCTCCCCACCCCCATGCCAGCAACCTGCTTTTCTACTCTCATTGTGATTGATTTGCATTTTCGTGCCCATAAGTGAAGAAGAGCAGGGGGTTTTGTTTGTTTTTGACTTTTTGGGGTGCCACCTGCGATGCTTGGGTTGCTCCTGACTCTGCACTCAGGAATCAGTCCTGGCAGTGCTCAGGGGACCATATGGGATGCTGGAGATCGAACCCAGGGTCGACCGTGTGCAAGGCAAACGCCCTCCCTGCTGGACTCTTGCTCCAGCCCCCAAGAGTGTTTTTTCTTTTTTTTCCAAGTACCTAGTACTTGGAAAAGTCTGCATGTCTTCTTAGGGGCTTCACTGTACAATTCTCCCTGTCTCTCTGTATTTATTTATTTAGTTTTGTTTTGGGGGGAAGAAGGCACACTTGGCAGTGCTCAGGGCTGACTCCTGGCTCTATGCTCGGGAATCACTCCAGGCAGGGCTCCAAGGACCCTGTGTGGTGCTGGGGATGGAACCTGGGTCGGCCGTGTCTGAGGCAAATGCCTACCCCACTCTCCTCTCTTGGGCCCCAGTTTTTGATGGGTAGGGGTGGTGGTTCGAGGTATTAGTTTTGTGGGCACTTTAAAGATTCAGGGAAGGGATCCTTGTGGATTTCTCTTCGGGAGTTGCTGGGATCCGTTCATTCCTGGGTGTTCTTGTCGCCCTGACAGCTGGCAGCTTCCTCTGTCAGTGCAGTGGCTCCTGGCTTGAGAGCTCAGATTCCCCGGGTGTGCGGGAGGGCCAGAAGCAGAGCAAGGATGGCCGATGATGTTTTCTTGCTGTTTCTGTCTCCTTGGCTCAGACGTCAGCGTGACGACTCTCAGGAACGCCTGGGCTGCCCCTTGGTGCCAGCTCGTCTGCGTGTCCCCATGATGGCGGCACTGGGTCTGCCACCCCCGGCCGGTAAGTGTTGGACTTGGGTCACTCCCCAGGCTCTCCAGGCCCCCTCATTGTTGGGGAAGGAGAGTCAGCGGGGCCTGGCAGAGAAGCATGGACAGATGGGCAGGCCTAACTCCTGGCCTTTGGGAGGGTGGTTGAGGGAGGGAGGGCTGTGATTGTGGGGTACGGAGTGACCGTTCAGGGGGGACCTGCCCTGCGCTGTCCAGGTCTAGGGATCTGGGCTCAGCACTTCGAGTCGTGACCCTCTGGCAGGGAAGATTTATCACTTCCCTGCCAGTGTCGCCATTGATTTGCGTTTCCCTGCCCATAAGTGAAGAAGAGCAGGTTTTTATGTTTGTTGTTGGCCTTTTGGGTTTTTCGCCATGTTTCCTGGCCTTGAGTGGACCTTGGCCACACTGACTTGTAAAGTTGTGCATGTGAGAGAGAATCGGGTGTCACTACAGCGGGTGGGGCTGTTATCTGTCAACCAAGGGTCCCCCAGACTTCGAGTCTCCCGGATCTTCTCTCCCCCAGCTCCGCCCACCCAGGCCCCCGCCTGGATCCGGAAGACAGAAATTCCGCTTCCTTCCGGAGACCTTTCCTGCCCCCAGGACGGCGAGCTATTTGCTTGCAGCGGCCCGGAGCCCCCAAAGCCAACCAGCTTTGGCTCCCAGGTACGCCAGGGTCTCGGGGTTCCCCGCCGGTGGCCATGCCCGACCCCCTACCCCCACCTCTCAGTATCACACCTTAGAATTCTTCCACCTCTTCAGTCTGGTCGATGCTGGATCGGAGCCAGCAGATGCCCCCACATCAGGGACGCATGGCCAGAAGTGGTTCCTGTACCAGGGCCTTCTTGCGAAACGCAGTTGCAAATGCTCAGCCAGCCCAGTAATAGAAGCCGGACTTGGTCTCACATCCGGAGCCCCAGAGGACGTTGGGTCACGCCCGGGGTGGGGGCACTGCCTGGGGCTCAGCCTGTGCGCTGTCGATCAGCTGGCCTCAGCCTCCCCCGCAGCCTGCTTGCTCACTGCCCTTGCGGCCCCCTCCCCTTCCAGGGAGCCCTGACTTTCCAGGATGTGGCCGTGGACTTTACTGATAAGGAGTGGCCCTTGCTGGACTCAGCCCAGAGGAAGCTCTACAAGGACGTGATGCTGGAGAACTACAGCAACCTCGCCTCCGTGGGTACGGCCACGCGGTGCCTCCCGCTGCCAAAATGGGGGTTTGGAAGATGGTCGTAAGCGGGCTGACCCTGGCTTGTCTCCGGGGTGCCCGGTGCTCCCCAGTTTGGGGAGATGTTGGGGTCTGCAGGTCCTACCGTTCTCATTCCCTGAAGCTTCGCGCAGCTCCTAACTTGCCCACAGCCACCCACACTGGGGCCAGAGCCCTAGTCTAGTGGGAAAGGTGCTGGCCTTATACTTGACTGACCTGGGTTCGATCTCAGGCATCTCGTATGGTCCCTCGAGCACCCCCAGGAGTGATCCCTGAGGTGGCTCAAAAACAACCAAAGAACTTCCATGCTGTCTGCTGTTCTGCTCCTGAGTGGGGCTCATCCGCCTGCCTGACCCACCCTCCCGGTCTGCGCCCCCACATGTAGGGTACCACCTGGGCAAGCCCAGCCTCATCTCACACTTGGAGCAGGAGGAGGAGCCGAGACCCAAGGAGCAGGGGGCTCAGCCCGGCGCCCGTCCGGGTAAGACACCCCCGCGGGCAGCAGGAAGAGCTTCAGGGGAGCCACCGTGGGGCTGGGCATGATCAAAGTGGCTACGCCTGGGCACCGGTCCTGGGCATCCTGCTCCTCTGTCAATGTGACAGGTCCCTCGCACCCCCGTCGCCACTGGCTCTCAGCGGCCTGGTTTGAAGAATTCCTTCCTGGTGTGAATTGACAGATCCCTCTGTCCTTGTCGCGGGCTGTCTGTCCATCTGTCGCTGCTTTCAGGGACAGGAACAGAGCTGCCCAGTGTTCCTGGTCATGCCCTTAGCCCCCTCTTTCCCATGGCCCAGAGAAAAGTCAGTAATTTCCCCGCATCTGTTTCAGATTGGGGGCCCCCCTCCAAGTCCCGCTGGGCCCTTCTCATGGAGGACATTTTCGGGAAGGAGACCCCTGGCGCTGTGGAGGAGGTGAGGATGGGGGGGACTGCAGAGAGGGGGCAGCTGCAGATCCGGGGTGGTGGGTGGCCGTCCCCAGCACAGCCCTGACCTCTGCCCGCACACTGACTGTTTTCTGCTTTGAGGAGGAAATTCTCAGGCTGGGTGTCAGCTGTTGGGTGCGGGGGCTCAACTATTTCCCCCTCGTGTTTTGTTGGGGGCCCACATCCGGCGATGCTGAGGGCTCACTCCTGGCTGTGCTCAGAGATCGCTCTAGGATGTTGGAGATCGGACCCTGGGCGACTGCGAGCCTGGCAGGTCCCAGCCCAGTACCAGCCCTAGGCTCGGATCCCTTTTAGCAGTTCAGACTGCTCCCAGGGACAGGCTGTTCGTAGGTCCCGCTGCAGGCATCTCTCGGGGTCCCAGCAGGGAGCCGCTGGCCAGTGGCTTCCGCAGCCCCCACCCGCATCTCTGCCTCCGCAGGCCGGCGCCACTCCAGGGGGGCTGCCCGGCAGCTACGCCCCGCTGTTGGGGGCCCTGGGCCCGAGCCCCGACCGCCCTCCGACCGCCGCCCCCCAGCGCCCGGGCCAGGACACGGACCTCAAGCCCCCGCCGGGCCGCAAGATGCACGAGTGCCAGCAGTGCCGCAAGGCCTTCACCACCAGCGCCTCCCTCACCCGCCACCGGCGCATCCACACGGGCGAGAAGCCGTACGCGTGCGGGGCCTGCGGCAAGGCCTTCAACGACCCGTCGGCGCTGCGCAGCCACGCGCGCACGCACCTGGCCGAGAAGCCGTTCGCCTGCGGCCAGTGCGCGCAGGCCTTCCGCACACTGTCGGCGCTGCGCATCCACACGCGCGTGCACACGGGCGAGCGGCCCTACCGCTGCGAGCAGTGCGGCAAGGCCTACGGCCGCAGCTGCCACCTGGTGGCCCACCGGCGCAGCCACACGGGCGAGCGGCCCTACGCCTGCCGCGACTGCGGCAAGGCCTTCCAGCACCCGTCGCACCTCAAGGAGCACGCGCGCAACCACACGGGCGAGAAGCCCTACGCGTGCGGCCAGTGCGGCCAGGCGTTCCGCTGGAAGTCCAACTTCAACCTGCACCGCAAGAACCACGCGGCGCCGCGGACCTACGCGTGCCGCGACTGCGGCAAGGCCTTCGGCGACCCGCGCGCCCGGCGGCGCCACATGCGCGCGCACAGCGTCAAGAAGCCCGTGGAGTGCCCGCAGTGCGGCAAGGCCTTCCGCAACCAGTCGGTGCTGAAGACGCACATGAACTCGCACACGGGCGAGCGGCCCTTCGCCTGCGAGCTGTGCGGCAAGGCCTTCGGCGCCAGCTCCAACCTCACGGCGCACCGCAAGATCCACAGCCGCGAGCGGCGCTACGAGTGCGCAGCCTGCGGCAAGGTCTTCGGCGACCACCTGGCCCGCCGGCGCCACATGAGCGCGCACCTGGCCAAGCCGCGCGTGGAGTGCGGCCAGTGCGGCAAGGCCTTCCGCAACCAGTCCACGCTGCGCACGCACATGCGCAGCCACACGGGCGAGAAGCCCTACGCGTGCGAGCACTGCGGCAAGGCCTTCAGCATCGGCTCCAACCTCACGGTGCACCGGCGTATCCACACGGGCGAGAAGCCCTACGCCTGCCCGGCCTGCGGCAAGGCCTTCAGCGACCACTCCTCGCTGCGCAGCCACATCAAGACCCACCGCGGCGAGAAGCTCTACGTGGCCCCCAAGCGGCTGCAGTGAGGGGGCCGCTGGGCCAGGGGCGAGGGGCCGGGGCGCGGATGCCGCCCGGACCACCGGACGGGAGACGCTCCCTGCCCTCCTGCCCTGCAGGGTGATATCCCGGGGTCCGTGCCCAGCCCCGCCCCCACTGAGGCCCGGAAACCTTCCCCCCTCGGGCCCTACCTGGAAATGGGGGTTCCTCCCCGGTTGTGGGTCTTACTTAGGGTCCAGAAGGGACAAAAGGAACGAACTCCCCAGGAGACGGCCTGGCTCAGTTCGGGGTGGGGGTCCCGCTGCCCTAAACTTCTCCCGGGAAGAGGAACTCCAGGTCTGCATGGCGGGAACAAGGGGGAATGGTGCCCACTGCCGCCCACCCGTGTCTGTGCCTGGAAAGCCAGGAGTAAGTGGGGACAGTTTATTTTTGAAACAGAGAGAGAGAGAGAGTGTGTGTGTGTGTGTGTGTGTTGGTGGGCCCCAAAGCCAGGCGGTTCTAGCCACGCCCACGGGGACAGTTTATTTTTGAAGCAAAGTCCTAGAAAGAGTGTGTGTGGGGTGGTGCCTGTCTCTCTCTCTCGGGTGTCCCAACGCCAGACAGTTCTACCCACACCCGCTGCAGAACCTCATGCCCTGGAGGTTCTCTGGGGCCATCCCCAATATGGGGATCAAGGTGGGGGACCGGTTTTGGCTTCCCGGGGATCCCTTCCTGGTGTCCACACATTGGCTGGGAGGGGGAGACAGTGTTCCTGGCCGGTGGTTGGAAAACATGGTGCCACTAACACCCATCCGGAGAGCCTGTCCCCTCTCCTCCGGCCACCAAAAGCCTCTTCTGCGGCTCACGCGAGTTTTCATGCCCCAGATGTGCCCGTGGGGACTCACTTCTGATTTGTCTGGCGCCCAGGATGCGCCCCCGGTGGGAGTTGGCTCTGGAGGATGGTGTGGACTCGCGCCTACCGGGCCCTGGCCACAGCGCCGGACCTCACAGGCACGTCTGTACATAGCATTTTCCCGCCACCTCGGCCTGCACCCTTGGCTATCGCCTGTCCCTACCACTTCCTGAGGTGCAGTGGGTGTGCTCTGAGCACCCAAGGGTGATGTTGGTGCCTGCCGGTGAGGGGCCCTGACCAGGCAACCCCTGAGGACTTGTTCACCCTCTCCCCCAGGCCACCTTCACGAAGAATCTCGTCTTCCAGTCATGAGAAGCTAGAGTTTTGCTGGCTAGAAAGGAGTGCTGATTTTTTTTTTTTTTTTTTTTTTTTTTTACCTGCGTGCATGTGTGGTGCCTGGGATGAACTCCATGGCCTCACACGCGGCAAGTGCTCAGCTGCTGAGTTAGACCCAGATCCCAGGGTGCTCATCTCTATAAGGTAGCTGGCAAACATGCCCCCCCCTCATCCCGCAGACACCCCCAGCCTGGTCAGGGGCAAGCAGGTGTTTGTCTGGTTGTGAAGCATCTCAGGGGGTGGGGGCGTATTGGGGAGAAGAATCTGTTACATTGATTACCCTACATGCTTTTTGCTTGCACCCCTCTGCCCCTCGGGGGAAATCCTCTCCCTGACGGTCCTGTAGGTCCTGTGACGCCCCACTCCAAGGACATGAGTCATGGGCAATAGGAGATGGGGGAGGAGGTGCAGAAAGGCAGTTGTCCCCAGCCATGGCCAGCAGCCATCCCGAGCGGCTGGCTGCACTCGTTTCTCTGTGCGGTTGCTTCTCCCAGACTTCCTCTTAACGTGAGAAATAATAAAAGTCCGTTCCTGCTCTGGCGCTCGCTGTCTCTGGATGCTTTAGTCGATGCTGGGGGGGGGGGGGGGTTGTCTCTGTACCCAGGTCGGTTCTGTCGATGCACCTGATCATCAGTGAGAGGAGATTCGTGCTCTGCTGCATTTGTGGCTATTAGCTCATAATTTTACTTATAAATATACTTTGGGGGGAGGTGCCACACCCAGTGGTGCTCAGGGGTCACTCCTGGCAGGGCTGGGGGTTGGCAACCTGTGGATTGCCGGGGATTGAGTCACAGTCTGCTGTATGCAAGGCCAGTACCCGCTATACCATCTCTCTGGCCCCATTTTTTTTTTTTTGTCAAACTTTTCAAAAAAATTTTTTTTCCTTGTAAAATTTTTTAAGGTTTTTATTTATTTTTTTTAAGATTTGGACAAGAATGATAGTATAATGGGGAAGGAGCTTGCCTTGCACTCTGCTGGGAGGTTTGACCCCAGCACCACATACAGCCCTCTGAGCACTGCTGGGTGTGGCCTGTAACCAAAAGAGAGTATATTGACCTTGCAGTGAGTCTGGAACCCGGATTGATGGAAGGTGTCGGGACCTCAGGTGGAGACCCTTCTTCTCCCCAGAGAAGCATCCCTGGCCCTGAAGCCTTGAGGAAGGATGCAGACCTGTCCGCGGGGCTCAGGACACACCCGCCAGCATTTACTTCCTAGTCTTACCTGACTTACCAGGATTGACCCAAACCAGGGTTTTCTCACTGTAGAAACTACCATGAGTTTTTGGGCTGGAGAGATTCCAGCAGGGTTTAAGACACGGCTGACCCAGGTTTCGTTACTAGAACCCCATAAGGTTCCCTGAGCCTCACCAGGAGTGATCCCTGAGCACAGAGTCAGGAGTCAACCCTGAGAGTCTCTGGGTGTGTGAACCCTCCCCGACCCCCACCAAAAAAAAAAAGAAAAATGTGTTTCCTGATTGTTTTCTTCTCCAAATCCTCGGCACAGGTTATGAGGTGCCCCCCACCCCACCTTTTGCAAAACACGTGGTAAATAAAATCATAGTTGACAGCAATCAGAAAGAGGCAACCCCAGTGATGGTTTCCAGACAATGTGTGCCAGCCAGGATGGGGCAGAGAGCACGGGACAGACTTGGCAGGATCAAGAAGCACCAATGAGATGGAGGAGAGGCCTCTGGGGGGCTTTGCACCAAGAGCACTGGGGCCTGTCCCAGGCACCACAGAGCCCCGCACACACCATTGCCTGCCTCCCCGTCCCCCGGATAAATAAGTTGCACCAAGAACTTGCACACAGCTGCCACCATTACTCAGACGCGCTTGTTTCCCCCTCCAGGCTCACAGGGGGCTGGACCCTTGACATAAAGTTCGGGCCCTTTGCCTTAGCAGAGAGAAAACCTTCAGGTATGCTGCTGCCTCAAGTGTGCCCTGGGGGTCAGGAATTGGGGGTTAGGAGTTGCTCCCCGGGAAGGAAAACACTTCTGGGTCACGCATCCATCCACCACCTTCCCCCCATGCCCTGCAATCATCCCACCCATTCCAATCACTGGGCACCAGCCCTTCTGCAGAAGAGTTTCCGCAGGGCCCCCTTAATGTCCCTGTTCCTCAGGCTGTAGATGAAGGGGTTCAGCATGGGGGTGACCACCGTGTACATCACCGAGGCCACCGACCCCTTTCTGGAAGGGTGGGCCGTCCCAGATGTGAGGTAGACGCCCAGGCCAGCACCATAGAACAGGGAGATGATGGCCAGGTGGGAGCTACAGGTGGAGAAGGCCTTGTACTTGCCCTGGGCCGAGGCGATGCCCAGGATGGAGGAGATGATTTTCGTGTAAGAGTAGAGGATGCCAATCAGGGGGATGACGCCCATGAGGCCCGTGATGAAGTACTGCACAATGTCATTGATGAAGGTGTCGTTACAGGCCAACTTGAGGAGCTGGGCAAGCTCACAGAAGAAGTGCGGGATTTCCACGTCTCTGCAGAAAGACAGCCTGAGCGCCAGCAGGCTCTGGAACACAAAGTAGGCCAGGCAGAATAACCAGGAGGCCAGCAGTAGCAGGCCACAGAGCCGGGGGTTCATGATGACCGTGTAGTGCAGGGGGTGGCAGATGGCCACGAAGCGGTCATAGGCCATGATGGTCAGCAACAGGTCATCCAGGCCCGCAAAGATCATGAAGAAGAACATCTGCGCCAGGCAGCCCTCGTAGCTGATGGTCCTGTCGTGCGTCTGCAGGTTGGCCAGCATCTTGGGGACGGTGGTGGAGGTGAAGCAGATGTCGGTGAGGGACAGGTTGGAGAGGAAGAAGTACATGGGCGTGTGCAGGTGGGGGTCCGAGAGGATGGCCGCGATGATGAGCAGGTTGCCCGTGATGCAGACCACGTACATGTAGAGGAAGAGGCCGAACAGCAGAGGCTGCAGGTCCGAGTCTTCGGAAAGTCCCAGAAGGATGAATTTTACAGTGCCCGTGTGGTTCTCGGCTTCCATAGGACTGGTAGGAGGCAAGAATCAGGCAGGATGATGACGTGACGGAAGTACGCAATTTCTCCCCACAGCCCCTAAAGCCTTGTATTTATCTAAGGGTTTATATTTTCTTTGCAGAATTTTTTGTTTTAATCTCTCTTCAGTAACCCTCTCTCTCTCCCCACAACTGCTACCGTTCCTGCATCTGAAAGACCCCGTCCTCCAAGGCCAGATGGCACGATGGAGAGGGTTTTTGCCTTGTGCATGGATGAGCTGGGTTCAATCCCTGGCACCCCAGAGGGTCCCCTGAGCCCCGCCAAGAGGGATCCCTGAGCACAGAGCCAAAAGTCAGCCCTGAGCACTGCCAGGTGCGGCCAAATAATTGACTTCATAGCTGGTCTCCCAGAGGCCCCTGGGGATGTGTAGGCATCCGCTTCTGGGACATTCAGAACCCAACGACACTTCCATGCCCTCCATCGCTTTGCAGAATCTTGAAGCGATTTTCTGGCTCCAGTGACTTACTCAGAAAAATATTGTCTGAAGATTTCATAGGTGAGAAGTTGAGAGATGAAACCAAAGGGAAGTAACCGCAGAAATAAGTCAGGGTTCTCGGGCCAAAAAGAAACAATGGGAGGGGCCAGAGGGGTAGTCTGGTAGGGAGGGCGTTGGCTTTGCATGCATCCGACCCGGGTTCAATTCCCAGCATCATATAGGGTCCTCCGAGCACCACCAGGAGTAACCCCTGAGCATCGCTGGGTGCGACCCAAAAAGACAAACCCACAAAAAAACAAAAACCAGGAGGGGGTGCTGGAGTGATAGTACAGCAGGGAGGGCACTTGCCTCACCCAGCTTTGTTCCCTAGCACTCCATGGAGTCCCTGAAGCCCACCAGGAGTGACCCCCGAGTGGGTTTGTGACCCTGAACATCGCTGGGGGTGGCCCCCAAACCAAAAGGGAGTAAGAAAGCGGGATAGGGTGTGTGTGTGTGTGTGTGTGTGTGAGTGACTGTATGTGTGAGTGTGTGTGTGAGTGTGTGAATGTGTGTGTGCATTTCTTTTCTTTTTTTTATTGGTTTGGGGGGACATATCTGAAATGAAAGAACAGGATGTGTGTGTGTGTGTGTGAGTGTGTGCAGACATTTTATTATTTTGGTTTGGGGGTCATATCCAGTGGCTCTTGGGGGACTGTGCAGTGCTGGAAACTGAACCCAGAACGTCCCCCGTTACCCCCACCAGCAGAAAGAAATCAATTCTACGGGCTGGCATCACCCTCACCCTGAGACAGACACAGCTGAAGAGAAGCAGGTGGTCTGTGGGGGACTCAGGGGACCCGACAGGCTCTTGCAGGTTGAGCCCAAAGATCTGAGATTCAGGGAGCCCAGGGGTGTCACTCCACTCTAGCAGATGGAGAAGAAACCCATTTCCTGACCCACAGCGCGACTCTCTCCTGCTCAGCCTTTGGGTCTATTTGAGTCATCTGCTGATTAGACAAGACCCACCTAAACTGGGGGAGCCATGCCCGCTAATTCAGTTTCCCATGGGAATCTCACCCACATATGTTCATCTCACACTGGGGGGCCACACCTGATTGTGCTCAGTGCTTTACTCCTGCCTCTGTGCTCAGGGATCACTCCTGGCTTACTCGGGCAGGCTTGTTCCCCTCTCCAGGCTCACAGGGGCCTGCACCCTTGGGTCGTTTGCCTCAGCAGAGAGAAAACCTTCAGGCACGCTGCTACCTCAAGTGTGCCCCTGGGTGTCAGGAATTGGGGGTTAGGAATTGGTTCCCCAGAAAAAAAAATGAGCACATCCGGTTCACGCATCTACCACCTTCCCCCATGCCCTGTAATTATCCCATCTGTCCCGATCACTGGGCACCAGCCCTTCTGCAGAAGAGTCTCTGCAGGGCCCTCTTCATGTCCCAGTTCCTCAGGCTGTAGAGGGAGGGGTTCAGCATGGGGGTGACCACCGTGTACATCACCGAGGCCACCGACCGCTTTCTGGAAGGGTGGGCCATCCCAGACGTGAGGTAGACGCCCAGGCCAGCACCATAGAATAGAGAGATGGTGGACAGGAGCCCTCTCTGCTCTCCCATCTCTCCCCCATCCCCAAGACATTCTTCTCATTCAGCGCTGATCATCTGCAAGGGCCCATATGCACAGTGCTAACCAACGCCTCCAGCAAGGAGCGTGGACTGAAGGATGTCCAGACCCCCGCTAAAACACAGAGATGTCACAATGGGTGGGACAGCAAATTCCTTGTTTTGTTCAGACATCAGTGAATTAGGAACAAAGTGGGGGTAGATCAGGAGCATTTTACCCTAACAGGGACATCCTGGGGCAACTTCTCAAAGCTCTGAATTTAAGTTTCCTGAGCTGACTCATGGCTCTGCACTCAGGAATTACTCAGAGGATCACAGGTGGAGCCAGGGATCAAACCCTGGTTGGTCATATTCAAGGCAAGCACCCTCCCCACTGTCCCATCACTCCAGCCCCCTCAGACTTTCTTTTCTCTGAGACAGACTGAGTTCCAGCCCAGTACAGATGGAGATAGGATTTTATTCCCTCACCTGAGTGGGCTGGAGCGATAGCACAGCAGGTAGGGCGTCTGCCTTGCACGGAGCCAACATGGCCGACCCAAGTTCGATTCCTCCGCCCCTCTCGGAGAGCCCGGCAAGCTACCGAGAGTATTCGATATGCCAGACACAGTAACAACAAAGTCTCCAATGGAGACGTTACAGGGCCCGCTCGAGCAAATTGATGATCAACGGGAGGGCCTTTACTTACTTTACACCTGAGTCCAATAAAGATGATCCCCAGATGTTTGGAAGTGGGGACCAGCTCCTGCACCCCCAAAGTGAGGACAGCCGGAGTCTCAGGCACAGTGTGGGGCTGTCAGGATGCCCGTATCACAAGAGCCTCCTCCCAACAATCCATCTGATGGTCCCCAGGGCCACACTAAAACGGGTCCATTGAAGTCTCTGGATTCTGCCCCCCACCCTTTTTCCAGAAAAGGGGTAGTTGCGGGTAGTTGCCCCTATGTGGGCCGTCTCTGTGACTCAGTGGTAGATGCAGGGCAGATGAGGCAAGGGTAAAAACATTCTAGAAGGGAGAGCTGGGAGGAAAGAGGTGGGGGAATGTGCAAACAGGAAGACTGAGGGAGGGGCAGCCAGGACACAAGGAAGCAAGGGAAGCCCGTGAGACGGAGAGAAGAAAATGCAGGCACAGTGAAACTCCGACAGCCCTGGCCAGAGCCGGGGACTTTCATTGCGTTTGTCTGATTTTGCTCGCAAGGTGGGGGATGGAATTGGCAGCCTCACATAGGTGAGGCAAGTGCTCTAACCACTGAGCCACCTCCCCGACCCCAGCTCTTATGAGGACTTTATGCATTTTCCTCTCTCGACATCCTTGTCTGTGTGCCCAGAAATCCTGTAAATAACAGTTTTTCCCCCCTCTTACCTCTTGGCCACGGCACTCTCTGAGACCTTACTAGAGCATCAGGATAAGATTTCTGATTTCTGGGGCCTCTGATCTCGGCTGTCCCCAATGGAGGGCAGATTAGAACAGGGGTGCAGGGAGGCAGTGCTTAGAATAAAGTGGGCCTGGCCCCCAGGGTCTCTCCTCCTGGTCCAGGATAGGTGAGGCAGAGAAAAGGAGCTCAAGGGTTTTGTGGGGGGCCAAATCCCCTCGCTTCTCATTAAGCAAATTGCTGTTTGGGTTGTTTCTGGGGAGCCATGTTCCCCACTTGGAGGCTCAGGGGAGCGATCATGGCACAGGTCAGCCCCCTGGGAGCTGCGCATGTTCCCCCCCTCCCTCCTCAGGATCTTTGGCACCAGCCCCCAGCCCTCACCAGTCCCAAACTCCACGGGACATTTTATCCCTAATCCATAATTCATTGTCCCTTTGGTGACAATGTCCCTTTGGACCCTCAGCACCGCCAACTTCCCTGAAGAGAAATATCACCAGCTTTGCAGATCTTTCCCTCCTCTAAGGGTTTAGGAATATTTTTGGACATGTTTCTTGATAGTCTAAACCAAGTCTACTTTTAAAATAAATTGTATTTATTTATTTATTTTTAGTTTGGGGGCCACACCCAGCGGTGCTCAAGGTTGACTCCTGGCTCTGTGCTCAGGGATCACTCCTGGTGGGCTCAGGGGATCAGCGATCAAGGATCAGGATCAGGGATGCAGGAGACTGAGCCCAGGTTGACTGCATGCAAGGCAAGGTAGTATCACTTGGACCCCTTAAAAAATTATAATAGTTCAGGTAATAGGGTGATAATGGTATTGGAGGACCTGGTATTGATGGGCAAAGTTCTGGTTTCCAAGGGGCCGGGACCCGCCCCTTACATCACTTCCAGTCTGACCCTCGTCCCAGCCTGCCCCTCTCCCCATTATTTGTTGATTGACAGTTATGGGCTTGGGGTCAACTGTTGCCTCCCTGAGCACTAACCCTGAGCTCCAACCCTCCATCTAAGCTCTTGTGTTATTTCCAGGCAACCTAATCAGTTGTTCTTCCCCCGACCTCTCAGTTCTGCCCTTACAGGCAGAACTGGGGCCGTTTTTTTGGATTCTCATCTGCTGAAACTGCATGCTCTTGTCTGTCCCTCCAGATGCCACAGATGAGTGACTGCCTCCTGCACTAGTCCCTCTGCTCAGCCAAGTTGCTAGGAAATGCTTGGCTTTCTTTTTTTATTTCTTTTTTTTTTATTACAAGTGGGGGCTCCCATGGCAGTGCTCAGGGCTTACTCCTATCTCTGTACTCAGGACTTACTTCTGGCTCCTGGCACAGGGGACCAGAAGAGACACCAGTGATCCTGCCTGGGTTGACCGTGTGTGCGGCCGTAGCCCCGCTGTATCAACTCTGGCTCTATAAACTCTCAGACTTAGATATGATTTGTGTGTGTGTGTGTGTGTGTGTGTGTGTGTGTTTGGTCAGGGCTTTCTTGCACATGACCCCTTTACATCCACAAAATGCAGCGTGGGTGACATGGCTGGACATGACTGTGAAAATGGGCTTACAAGAAGTCCTCAGGTGTGTGACCCTCTGGGGTTCAGGTTAATTAGGGATCCATGC